GAAACTCTTACTAATTTGCCATATGAATGCGCAAGTAGAGAGAACACACAAGGAATGCTACGGTCACTCGTAGAACCTGTGTCTTCCCCGGTAGTCCAGCTTGCGGTGTAGAGTGACTCTCCGCATAAATCGGCACTACCACGCCGGTGCCACAAGATCTCACGACACCGAAAACGCAGGACGTTGTTGACGAGACGTCAACCGGGAAGAGGAAACTCGTCGGCGTTATTGCGCGGCAGAAATGGCGCCAATTGAAGTAGAGCTTCTCGAGGGATGCAACTCCAACCGTCATCGATGATGACGAAGATGATGACGGTTTGCAGCCGGCGGACGGGCTCACCCAGATCCCGAAAGTTGCATTCCCCAGGTCGCATCGGCAAATTCGTAGTTCCTGGCAAGGGTTGTTTCCATGGCTTGTTCTTTTACGTGCTGACGACGGGATGCCCCTTCTAAAATGCAGCACCTGCATGGAGCATGGAATTGAGGGCGCCAACACAGCGTACAGCAAGGGCGGTGCAGGAGGGCGAGACATGCTGAAGCAGAGCTCAGGACCATCAGCGCTCGACAGCACACAAGGATGCAACCAGTGGATGAAGTTAAAGGAAAGCCGCAAGCTGCAGCATGCATTACTGAGTGAGTTCGAGGGCCTCGATCGGAGCACGCTGCACCTCATCACCACCATGAAGACGATAGTTTCACGTGCAAGTCGGAAGCCCCGATAACATCGTCCGTCGGATTCATTAAGTTCATGTCAGAGCTCAAAGTTCTGAATCTTCCCCTGGATAAAGCAGGAACCTACTATTATGAGTAAGTGAAACCTATTATCGTAAATGTCAAGGCTCTGTATTTCCTAACGTTAGACCAACCCCCTTTCTAACTCTACTTGTTGCATGTGCAGGTACGGGTTCGGCGAGGTGCTGGAGGCCGTGTCGAAGTATCTGCGGCAGGATCAACTCAAGCAAATTGCCGCCAGCCCGTACATCAGTATCCAGCTCAATGAAAGGATGGACCGCGTGTGAGGCAAGAACTTGATCATCTACGTCCCCTTCGTCAAGAGCGACACCGTGGTCTGTGAATTACTTACGCTGCTCATGGTAGAAAATGTGACAAGGACCGTCTTACAGAAGTCATGCTAACCCATCTGGATGTCGTCCGCATTGACATCATGAAGATTGTGGGGATAAGCACAAACGGGGCTAAGGTCATGACGGGCACCAGCGCGGGTGTTGTCACAGGACCGCGCCAAGAATCAGTATCTCGCCTCATGCCACTGCATTGTGTTGAAGTAACTATGTGATCTTATGAGGCATGACTTAGGAGCTTAGGAGAAAGCTGAGGTAGGCTTGAGCGTGGCGAGAGAGATTGGGAGAATGGAGTGGATTCACTATAGGAAAACACAAACATATAGGAGAAAGGAGGGGAGGTGCACCACCAAAACAAGAAGCATATAGCTACACTAGGATCTACTGTAGGCAGGAATATAATGTATACAAATACATTTCAACACATCGCTAATCGGCAAGGTTTAATATATGCAATGTTAATATTCTTGACAGTTTTAGATATAAATGAATTTCTTTTATGTTTGTGCAGGGAGGCGTTCGGCGCAAAAGATGTCGCGCTCAAAGTTCCAGATTTTAACATCGTCGATCAAGAAGTCTGAGGCGTAGTGGAGCAGTTGTTACGAAGCAGCGTGTGGCACCAGCGATTCCGGCACCCGCATGAGATCATATGTGACACCAACCTCGAGCTTCAAAGGATTCACTCTGTGAGGTGGCTATCACGTGGACAAGCAGTAAAAAGATTTGCCAAGGTTTTGCCGGTGACCATGGTGCTGCTACACGAGTACAAGCACGAGTTGTACAAAGTCGTCACTTCCTTTAAGTTTCACTTTCTTCTGTACTTCGTGGCGGACATTCTCGCCATCCCGAACGATCTGAACACGAAGTTTAGTGAGTTGCACACCCCGCTAGTTTTGCTTTATCCATCAATTATGTTTTTTTACATTTTCTTGTGTTTTTTACCCTGGGCATGTGGATATCACTGTGGTTGCGGGTGAAGTTTCTCTGGCCTGTGTATCCCAGGTACAACAGGCAGAGGATGAGGAAGTGCCTTGAATGGCTAGGACAACTAAAAAAAAAACACCGCTTTTGTCTCCATAGTACGTGCGTTTGTTTCTATTTCACGACATGTTTTGTTTAACCCACCAACACGCTCCCCCCACGTACCCACGTTCGCGACATGCTTTACTTAACGTTGTTTTTTTTTTTTTTTTTTTTTTTTTGTGCGCTTGGCGGCATGTTTTATTAACCCATTAATACCCTTTCCCCATGTACCCACGTTTTCGTCGGCTGTTTGCTTCAAATCATGCGAGAGGGAGCTCCCTCTGTTTCCGCACACGATGGACCTCAACCACGCAAACCTCGGCTTCTTCAAGTCGCTCACCTTCATTCTCCGCACCAGCGACTATGCTGGTGCCTATCCGAACCTGGTACAGCTGTGGCAAGCTGGAGCCGTGCCCCTCTCAGCAACGTGGAGCGCGAGCGCAGATTCAGTTGCCAGAATTGCATCAAGACATGGAGCAGGACAAGCCTTGGCGATGCACGACTAGGCGATCTCATGACAGATGCTCTTCTTCCAACCGACGATGTGAACCGGGCTGATGTGGTAACCTTGTTCCTTTAGCATGTGCTAGATATCTAGAAAGTAGATTGTTGTGATGGATTAGTGCTTTAATTAGTCAAATCTCACAACAACAAACTTAAAAAGGGGTAACTTAGCTTTTCACACTGATGAGGAAAAGTAGTTTTAGGAATGACACTGATAAAAAGAGTGACTTTTTTTCTACCCTTATAGAAAGAACTTCATGCTAAGTACCCTTACAAGAACAGGTAAGCTAAATCCTATCCAGAGTCCTGGTTGGGGGTGGTGTGGTGGGATGAAGGCAGCAATCGCAAGTCGACAAGGGGAGCAGCATGGGATGGGTTCAAAGCCGGTGCAGCACCATCATGTGAAGGGCAAGGCAAAGGTGAAGGCAGCCTTACTTGCATCATGAGCTAAATGGATATTGCGAGGCCGAATGGGTTGTTGCATGGATTAGCATCTGCGCTTCAGCGAATGCACACATGGGTGGGGAGAAGTGATGCAACTGGACATGTGCACTGGCTTGGCTTGTGTACGAACTGGCAAATGCTACAGGTATAGGCATGTGGTGCAGCCAGCATACCTTCAAGGTGGAATATCGGTTTCTGTACCAGATGCAACCGGTGTTCCTGCGCATGCATACACAGCTAAAAACACGCATGTGCCAAATTCAATTCAACTCACCGAACTTCCATACGTCTCATGCATGAATGCATTAGCAACAGTGCTGGAACTCATGCTTGCAATCCCTCTAAGCCTAATGTTTGTCAAACGGCAGTCTGCGGTAAGAGGCTATTGCAATAAACCGCTGATGACATTTCAGAGGAGTTCCTTTCAGGCAGTACAAGCCTCCAAACTTGCCACCCTTCCCACCCAACCACTATCCTTCCACCCCTTAAGCCATCAACCGTATCCCCTCAATAACCATACACACAAGGCAGTAAGCTTGCCTTGAGCAAATAATGACACTATAGTAAGGGCACACTCCTAGAAACCTAAGAATCTTCCACCCATCATCCACCACGTTTTTGCCATCCCTATCCCAATCCCCATTCCCATCACCATCACCATCACCATGCCCATTTCCATCCTGATCCCTATCACCATCCCCATCCCCATCCCCGTCCCCTTCACCATCACCATCCCCATCACCATCACCATTCCCGTCCCCATCACTATCCCCATCCCCATCCCCATCCCCATCCCCATCTCCATCCCCATCACCATCAGCATCAGCATCAGCATCAGCATCACTATCACTATCACCCTCACCATCACCATCACCCTCACCCTCACCATCCCCATCACCATCACCATCACCCTCACCATCACCATCACCAGCCCCATCCCCATCCCCATCCCCATTCCCATCCCCATCCCCATCCCCATCCCCATCCCCATCACCATCCCCATCTCCATCACCATGACCATCATCATCACCATCACCAGTTTCTCTTCCAGGGTCTCACTATCAACGACGATATGCAGAAGCACCCAAATTGTTCCCCCTCTCCCATATCAGATATTTCCCATCACCTTTCTTCTGTTCATCCTCGTGCACCAACCCTGCAGCGACAAGCAGTTCCTATTACAGGGACTCACACTGAACACCTACGGTACATGCAGAGGCACCGGATGGTGTGTACGGAACAGGTACGGTTGTGCCAGGAGGAACAAACCAGCCCGCTTCATATGTTGTGCCCTGGGCTCCTGCTGCTCAGAGTGCCAGCCCCCAGCAACAGCAGAATAACCAGCAGCAGCAGCAGCAGAGTCCAGGGGGGGCTGCCTTGAGTCCGCAGCAGCAGGCGATGCTCTTTGGTGGTAACCCGCCCCCTATGAACCTGTCATAGCAGGGAGGAGGAGCGCCCTCGGGTGGAGGGATGGTTATGGGCTCGAGCACGTATGGGCCGAACCCCACTTACCCCTAACATCAACAGCAGCAGCAGCAGCAGCAGCAGCAGCAGCAGAGGAGGCCCGGGGAAGTCGTGACAGGCCCTGATTATGTGGATGGGCAGGTGTTTAGAGGCACAGGGTGAATCTTCTGGAACTTTTAGATAGTAATTTGTTGGTTATAGACCCTAGGGTCTTATATGCTGACCCAGAACAAATGGGTTTGTCTATTTGAGTGGTAGTGCTGTACATCTGGTGTTGTGTTCAAGTACTTGGTGGTTCAAATCCATCACACACTTTACTGGTGCGTGAAACAAAAGAAAAAAAACACACACCCTGTCCAATTTTGAGGCAGATAAATGTCCTTACAGATGCTGCAATATCAGACAAGACCTACCCCTATAGCTTTTCAGTGAGCCTTCCACTTGCACAAAAACCAACCCGCGGACCGTGCACCAACCTCCGCATCAACCAAACGCATTAATGAGGAACTCCTTGTAGATCGCCATGACCTTGGCAGCAAAGGCTGCATGGGTGGGAGGGGAGGGACAGGGAGGAGACAGGGAACGCGTGGGTGTGTGAAGAGTAGAAGTACCTACCGTGGAGAAGGAATGAAACAGCAAGGTTGGGGGTGGTGTGGCGGGATGACGGCAGCGTTCGCAGGTCAACAAAGGAAGCAGCAGCAAGTGAGGGGTACAAAGCGGGTGCAGCACCATGCACGTGGGTGGGGAGAAGTGATGCAACTTCTCATGTGCGCCAGGATTGACACATGCTGCAGGTACAGGCATGTGGTGCAGCCAACATACCTTCAAGGTGGAAAATTGACTTCTGTCCCAGATGCAACCGGTGCTCCTGCTCATGCACACAGTCAGAAACACAGAGGTGTACAGCTTTACTTAAATGTACTGTTTTGCCATATGCCTCATGGATGCATGCATTAGAAGCAGTGCTAAACCTCATGCTTGCAAGTTGCAACCCCTTTTGGCCTAGAAACCTCCACCATCCACCACACATCACCATCACCATGACCATCACCATCACCATCATGAACACACGTGCAAGGCGGCCCAGTGACCCAGCTCGAGCTAGGAGTGAAAATTCACACCAAATTGTCATGCTTGAGCATTTGAGTGGATATTACCCCATCTATCTATACTGCCCCCCATTCCACACATACAAGGCAGCCCAACGGAAAGCGTTATGCTATTTGGGAGTCACTTTTCAGAATTCTTAAAAGTGCTTCAGCTTTGAGTGGAGTTCACACTTTCGAAGTTCCAATCCTCACCCACCACCCTCCCTCCCAACCCCCTCCCTCCTACAACAGCTCTTCCCCACGCCCATACAGCACGCACATAGAAGGCAGCCCAGTGGCACACGTCATGCTTCAGCTCCGCATCCATCTTGCGCATCAACTCCACTGTCAGGCGCTGGGGGAGGCGACGGGGGGGGGGGGGTGGGGGGGGGGGGGGGGGGGGGTTGTAATGGGGTATTGAAGTTTGACCATCCATCTTGCGCATCAACTCCACTGTCAGGCGTTGGTGGGGGGGGGGGGGAGGGGGGGGGGGGGAAGTGGGGAAGAGGGAGGAGGGTGCGGTGGTGAGAGAGAAAGAGGGGGTTGGTGAGGCCATGAGCGTCCATCTTGCGCATCTAAGGCGCTGGAGGTGGGAGGAATGGTGGGAATGGGGAATAGAGAAAGATGGGGGTTTCAAGTTCTAAACGTCCATCTTGCGCATCAACTACACCGTCAGGCGCTGGATTAGGAAAGGGGGGGGGAGAGAGGAAGGGGGAAGTTATGTGCGAGAGGGGGAGCTTGTGAGCGTCCATCTTGCACATCTGCTCAACCGTCAGGCGCTGGGGGGTGGGTGTGTGAGGAGGGGGAAAGGAGGAAGGCGGGAGGAAGAAGAGGGGGAAGTTATGTGAGAGAAGGGGAGGTTGTAAGCGCCATCTAGCGCACAGCTCCACCGTCAGACGCTGGGGTTGAGTGGAGAGCGGCTGGTGGTTTATGGCCTTGGAGTCGACTCAAAAGTCACCTCAGGCACATGGAGCCTACAAACTAGGGCCTAGGCACTTGATCACATGGGTGTAAAGGCTTACCTTGAGGATGAGGTGCGGCGGGATGCAGTTGATTAGAAGGTCGTAGAACTTGGCGCGTATTTGAAACAGGCTGGCATGCGAGTGGTTGGGGAGGGAGGGAAGAGCCGGAGAGGGTAAACCGTCTGAAGAGAGGGTGTCGAGGAGGGAGAGCAGGAAAGAGGCGCGGATATGGCATGAGGTGGAGGTGGATGAAGATGGAAAAGCACGAGGAGGCAGTAGCAGAAAGGGAGAGTTATGAGCTTCTTGGCTCCTCAACTCCTGCTTCTTCAAGCTTTCACCTTCTACAAGACGTGATAGGCATTCCGCCATTCCCTGCCGCCTCACAACATGTTGATCCGACTCAATCCCTCTCCACCCTCCCACCAACCTCCCACCTCTGCCTCACCGGCGGGGGCTCTGTTCGCTGATGATGTCAGCAGCGATCTCAGCTACACAGAGCTCCCAGTCGTTCTGCTGCACCGGTTGATTGTCACTGAATGGGTAGCTGCGCACATGTCGTGTGGGAGTGGAGGGAAGCATGGCAAGTTACGTAGCAGAGGTGGCACTATGGAACAGGGTCGGTGGGAGGGGATGAGAGGGCGGCCTTCCGCTGCACCGGCTGGCTGTCACTGAAGGGTAGTGGCGGCAGGCAGTGTGGGACGGGTGGGAAAGAGGTGCGAGGGCAGGACGACCACGGGCACTGAGGAATGGGGTGGTAGTACGAGGAGGGTAAGAGGGCATGCGTGGGTAGAGGGCATGCGTGGGTAAGCAGTTGTAGGAGCCTCAGGTCTCGAGGGAGACAGCGGGTTAGTGGATGTTGTCCGATGATGTGATGGGGGTGGAAGGATGGGTATCGTGGAGGAGGAGATGGGGGGTGGTAAGTGAGAGGTGCGAGGATGAGCATGGTGGAGGATGGTTGTGTGGACATGGTCGTGCACGGTTCGATGGTGTATCAGCAACCAACTACATTAACAAAGAGCCCAGAGGACTCACTGGGCAGCTTCTAGGGAGAGCAGCGCCTTGCGCAGGTTGCAGCAAAAGAGAAAAGGCAGGTGATAAGAAGAGCGCAGCAGCGGAACATTGCCAGAAGATGGGGTGGATACCCTTTTTTCTGAGAGCAGGCAGGCACTCACTGGGCGGCTTTATCAGCTTCAAGGGAGAGCAGCGCCTTGCACGGGTTACAACAAACGGAAGAGAATAGATAATAGAAAAGGAGCAGTACGAGGTTCTAACTGTGGGTGGGCTAGCAGGCAGGCAGGGGACTCACTGGGCAGCCTTAGCAGCCTGGAGGGAGAGCAGCGCCTTGCGCAGGTTGCGGTTGCTGCTCACCGCCATCCGCCCTGCCAGCATCGGTGGTAAGGTCACTCCCTCCTTGCCTGCCACCCTCGTGTAGCACGTCCACTATCTGCCGAGAAACGGGGGGGAAGCGGGAAGGGGAAGGGGGGAGGGGAGGGGGAGGGGACCGGGGTGTGGTTGGAGTGAACTGACAGCATCCCTGGCAGCACCGATCATAGACTGATGCCCTTAAGAGACGTCTCAAAAAACACAGCATCCCTGGCAGCACCGATCATAGACTGATGCCCTTTTTCCCTGCCACCTCCTGTAGCACATCCACTCATGGGGGGGTTGGTTGGGGAGCGGAGAGGGGGGGGGGAGGGGGTGGGCTGCGAGGGAGGGAGGGGAGGGGGATGGGGCAGGGGTGTGTTGTGAGTTGACTGACAACATCCCTGGCAGCATTGGTGGTGGAGTCACGTCTCGCCTTACTTGCCTTGCCTGCCGGCTCCTCCTGTAGCCCGTCCACTATACTGCCAAGGACGGCAGGGGGGGGGCAACAGAGCGAGCAGGGAGGAGACCAGGACTTGTGGGGGGGTGAGGGAACAGAGAGGAACTGGGGTGACTTGGGTAAGTGTGAGGGTGTATGAGTGCGTGTGGGTGCACAGCACACGGGTACAGCAGGCACACCTGATCGTGGGATGGAGCAGCAATGCGGAGGTTGAGGCATCGCGATCGAAGAGCCTCCGTGACCTGTGGGGTGCATCGCACGAGGCAGCAAGACAGCAAAGCAGCACAGCAGCACGGGGAAGCACGGCAGTGAGGCAGCGAGGTGGCACAGAATGCCATTTGAGTGGACACCAGACAAGGCGTTGTTCTAATACTCAGCAGCTGTAAATTGTCTCACTGCCCACGTCACCTGCGAGGCGGAGGAGCAGCACATGACGATGCGGCAGGCAGCGTGTTGTAGCGCTCCATGGTGCGCCGTAGCGCATGCTGTGCCTCCCTGCTCAGATGGTCCACCTCGTTCAGCACCAGCACTGCTTGCGGGGAGAGGGGATGGGGTTGGGAGGAGGTGAGACGAAGAGGGAAGAAGTGAGAGCGGCAAGAGTGAGGAAAGTAGGCTGTGCCTCCCTGCTCAGATGGTCCACCTCGTTCCGCACCAGCACTGCTTGGAGGAAGGGTTGTGGTTGTGGAGGTGGGAGAGGAAGGAGGAAGTGTGGATAAAGCAGTGGAGGGAAGAGAGAGCATGCTGTGCCTCCGTACTGAGATGGTCCAGCATAAGCACTGCTTGTGGGGGTGGTGGCAGGGCAGGGTTGAGAGAAGAAAAGGGAAGAAGGAAGTGTGGTGGAGAGGAAGAGTGGGAATAGAGAGAATGAGAAGAGAGAGGTTGGAAGGCAGTAAAAGGCACCAAACTTGACCCTCAAGAAGCAACTGACCACCACCTGAGTACCAACTGACCATGACTTGCCTTGGATTGCAGCAACATTCTCCTCAATGACCCACATAATAACAGCACTCAATGCCAAAACTGCCACACCATCGTCCATCACTGACCCAGAGCCGCGCACCCCCCACTGCGTCACCCACAGCCAAACCAGCCCCGCACCCACCCTTGAAGCTGCGTCGGCCCTTGCTGTCAAAGGGTCTATGGCATGCCATGCCCTTGACCTCCTGCCCCAATGGCAACCAGAACCACAACCGCCAACAACGAGCCACACCCACTGTCACCACCCACCCACACCACCCTCCTTGAAGCTGCGGCTGCCCTTGCTGTCAATGGTTCTAGTGCGCACCATGTCTTAATGATCTCCGATACCCCGTAACGGTCCAGGAAGCCTATTGAGTGGACTCAAAACAGAAGCCAGCGACCCCCGCACCGCACGCACCCTTGAAGCTGTGGTTGCTCTCGGAGTCAATGGGTCTCTTGCGCACCATGTCTTTGATGATCTCCTGCACCAATACCAACCATAGCCACAACCCCCACCATCCCTACCCCAGAGCCACCACCACTGGCACCTTTGAAGCTTCTGTTGCCCTTGCTGTCAATGGGTCTGTTCCGCGCCATGTCTTTGATGATCTCCTGCACCACGTATCGGTCCTGGAAGCCCGCATCGGACGGACTGAGCTCCACGTGGTGGTTGCTTGCCACTGTGGTTAACTCCACCTCCAGCTTCCGCATGCCTGCCTGCCACCACCACCCACCACCACCACCACCACCACCACCACCACCACCACCACCACCACCACCACCCACCAGGCAAGGCAGTAGACGAATGCAAGTAAAGAGAGTGCGAGTATGATGTGAGCACGAGCTTCATGTGACTGGCGTAGTGCACATGCATTGCTCCACGTGGTGGTTGCTCGCCACTGTCATCAGCCCCACCTCCAGCTTTAACGTGCCCGCCTGCCAGGCAGGACGATAGATGTTCATGAATCACTACAGGTTCGACTGCTAGGGTTTTCATTCATTGTCTGGCAGACAAGAGATGTAACTCGCTTTGGGGGAGACATGCAGAAGTGGGCTCGTTGGAAAGGGGCGTGTATCACGAGCTCACACGAGGGAAGCTGCATGGCTGGGCAGTGGAGTGGTGCGTACCTCAATCTTCCAAGGCTTGTTCTCTACTTTCACCTACACACACACACACACACCACACACACACATACACATACACACACGCACGCACGCACGCATTCACGCACGCACTCACGCGCACGCGCACACACACGCACGCACGCATGCACGCACTCACGCGCGCGCGCGCGCGCACAAACACACACACACGCACGCACGCACTCACGCGCACGCACACACACACAACATACACTCAATCACACACAGCACATGCATGAGCACAAATGCAACCACATATCAAAACATACGGGCACAAATAAGTGACGAGGCGCTGAGGTCTGCCACGCAGCACAGATACCACCGGCGGAACTTCATAGTGTCCCTCTCTCTCGTATAAAACAGACTGCCATCTCCACTACCCCCTTTCCCCCCAACACGTCAAGCCTACATCTGACAGATCCTGTCAAGCCTAAATTTGACGGATCCTGTCAAGCCTACATCTGACAGATCCTGTCAAGCCTACATCTGACAGATTCTGTCAAGCCTACATCTGACAGATCCTGTCAAGCCCTACATTTGACGGATCCTGTCAAGCCTACATCTGACAGATCCTGTCTAGCCTACATCTTACAGATCCTGTCAAACCGACATCTGACAGATCCTGTCAAGCCTACATTTGACGGACACTGTCAAGCCTACATCTGACAGATCCTGTCAAGCCTACATCTGACAGATTCTGTAAAGCCTACATCTAGACTGATCCTGTCAAGCCTACATTTGACGGATCCTGTCAAGCCTACATCTGACAGATCCTGTCTAACCTACATCTGACAGATCCTGTCAAGCCTACATTTGACGGATCCTGTCAAGCCTACATCTGACAGATCCTGTCAAGCCTACATCTGACAGATCCCTGTCAAGCCTACATCTGACAGATTCTGTAAAGCCTACATCTGACTGATCCTGTCAAGCCTACATTTGACGGATCCTGTCAAGCCTACATCTGACAGATCCTGTCTAGCCTACATCTGACAGATCCTGTCAAGCCTACATTTGACGGATCCTGTCAAGCCTACATCTGACAGATCCTGTCAAGCCTACATCTGACGGATCCTGTCAAGCCTACATCTGACGGATCCTGTCAAGCCTACATCTGACAGATCCTGTCTAGCCTACATCTGACAGATCCTGTCAAGCCTACATCTGACGGATCCTGTCAAGCCTACATTTGACGGATCCTGTCAAGCCTACATCTGACAGATCCTGTCTAGCCTACATCTGACAGATCCTGTCAAGCCTACATTTGACGGATCCTGTCAAGCCTACATCTGACGGATCCTGTCAAGCCTACATCTGACAGATCCTGTCTAGCCTACATCTTACAGATCCTGTCAAACCTACATCTGACAGATCCTGTCAAGCCTACATTTGACGGATCCTGTCAAGCCTACATCTGACAGATCCTGTCAAGCCTACATCTGACAGATTCTGTAAAGCCTACATCTGACAGATCCTGTCAAGCCTACATCTGACAGATCCTGTCAAGCCTACATTTGACGGATCCTGCCAAGCCTACATCTGACAGATCCTGTCAAAACCTACATCTGACAGATCCTGTCAAGCCTACATTTGACGGATCCTGTCAAGCCTACATCTGACAGATCCTGTCTAACCTACATCTGACAGATCCTGTCAAGCCTACATTTGACGGATCCTGCCAAGCCTACATCTGACGGATCCTGTCAAGCCTACATCTGACAGATCCTGTCTAGCCTACATCTGACAGATCCTGTCAAGCGTACATCTGACGGATCCTGTCAAGCCTACATTTGACGGATCCTGTCAAGCCTACATCTGACAGATCCTGTCTAGCCTACATCTGACAGGTCCTGTCAAGCCTACATTTGACGGATCCTGTCAAGCCTACATCTGACAGATCCTGTCAAACTACATCTGACAGATCCTGTCAAGCCTACATTTGACGGATCCTGCCAAGCCTACATCTGACGGATCCTGTCAAGCCTACATCTGACGGATCCTGTCAAGCCTACATCTGACAGATCCTGTCTAGCCTACATCTGACAGATCCTGTCAAGCATACATCTGACGGATCCTGTCAAGCCTACATTTGACGGATCCTGTCAAGCCTACATCTGACAGATCCTGTCTAGCCTACATCTGGACAGATCCTGTCAAGCCTACATTGACGGATCCTGTCAAGCCTACATCTGACAGATCCTGTCAAGCCTACCATCTGACAGGATCCTGTCAAGCCTACATCATGACAGATTCCTGTCAAGCTACATCTGACGGATCCTGTCAAGCCTACATACTGACGGATCCTGTCAAGCCTACATCTGACAGAATCCTGTCTAGCCTACATCTGACAGATCCTGTCAAGGCCTACATCTGACGGATCCTGTCAAGCCTACATTTGACGGATCTTGTCAAGCCTACATCTGACAGATCCTGTCTAGCCTACATCTGACAGGATCCTGTCAAGCCTACATTTGACGGATCCTGTCAAGCCTACATTTGACGGATCCTGTCAAGGCCTACATCTGACAGATCCTGTCGAGCCTACATCTGACAGATCCTGTCAAGCCTACATTGACGGATCCTGTCAAGCCTACATCTGACGGATCCTGTCAAGCTACATCTGACAGATCCTGTCTAGCCTACATCTGACAGATCCTGTCAAGCATACATCTGACGGATCCTGTCAAGCCTACATTTGAGGATCCTGTCAAGCCTACATCTGACAGATCCTGTCTAGCCTACATCTGACAGATCCTGTCAAGCCTACATTTGACGGATCCTGTCAAGCCTACATCTGACAGATCCTGTCAAGCCTACATCTGACAGATTCCTGCAAGCCTACATCTGACAGATCCTGTCAAGCCTACATCTGACGGATCCTGTCAAGCCTGACATCTGACGGATCCTGTCAAGCCTACATCTGACAGATCCTGTCTAGCCTACATCTGACAGATCTGTCAAAGCCGTACATCTGACGGATCTGTCAAGCCTACATTGACGGATCCTGTCAAGCCTACATCTGACAGATCCCGTCTAGCCTATACATCTGACAGATCCTGTCAAGCCTACATTTGACGGATCCTGTCAAGCCTACATTTGACGGATCCTGTCAGCCTACATCTGACAGATTGTGTCGAGCCTAACCTACGCATACGGCTTGACGGTTCCTGTCTGTCACATACACTAAAGCAACGGACAGTTGCTCACCGTTCATTCTGGGGGATGATGTGTTCCCATCAACCCTTCGTAACGTGGTAACTCTCCCTCCTTCCCCTCGCTCTCCCCGCTCTCCCAACCTTTCCCCAATCTTTTCCAACCTACCCAGCCCCCTCCTTTCCCCCCCCCACCTCCCCCGCCCCCACCCCACCTTATCAGCCCCGGGACCGAACATCTCGCGCAGCAGTGCGAGCACGAGAGTCTTCTTGCCCGCTCCTGACGGGCCGAAGAACAGCAGGTGCGGACAGTCGCCCGCTTGCACCTGCACGGAGGGGAGGGGGGGGGGGGGAAGATGCCGAGACGAGATATGTACTACTGTTGCTCGATGAGCCTGGGAGGGGAAGGAGAGGGGGGAAGGGGGAGGGGATCGGGGGGGAGCGGAGGGGAGGGGATGGGAGGGGAGGGGATGGGAGGGGAGGGG